GAGGGAAGGCAGGAAAGAGAAGGAAAAGAGGAAATGGAAGATAAGGAAAGGAATCAAAAGTATGATGATTAGTATCAGGGAGCACGTATTTGGCAGTAGGTCTGAGATAAAGAGACGGGCAGCCCAGAACCCCAGGTCATAGGAGGCCCATTACGCATCAGGTTTTCCTTTCGAGGATGTGGCCGTGGGATTCGAGTGATGTTTCGTTCTCATCTCTTCTGTTCTTTTGCATTCTCCTTCTCCTTCTCCTTATCATCCACCTCTTCCTCTTCCTCTTCCTCTTAATCTTGCCACCTCACCCTCCTCCTTTTCCATCATCCCTCCTTCTTTTCCTCCTCCCCCTCCTCCTCCTCCCCCTTCCTCCCCCCCTTCCTCCTCCTCGTCCTCTTCATCTCCCTCCTCCCCCTCCTCCTCTCCTTCTCCTCTTGCTCCTTCCCTCCTCCCCCTTTTTCTCCTCCTCCTCCTCCTCCTCCTCCTCCTCCTCCTCCTCCTCCTCCCCCCTTCCTCCTCTCTCTTTTTCTTCAAGTGTGAAGGAAAGTGCTTTGAGGGCGAATCCCAGAGCTGACCGAGGGCGGAAAGTTATCAGCGAGGGGCGAGGGCGGCCGGCAGCAGCACCAGCAGGAGGCGCGGCTGGTGTATATGAGGCCATCTCTCTTGCAGTGGGGTGGAGAGCGCGGAGGTGGGGGGAAGGGGGGGAGGAGAAGGGGGTAGGGACAGGGATGGGTGGGGGGGAAGGGAGGGAGTCGGGGGGGAAGGGGGTTAGGGGGTTAGGGTAGGAGGGAGAAAGGAGGGAAAGGGTTTACGGTGAGGACGAGGTGAGGGATGCGGGTAGGGAGGAGGAGGGGTTGTGGGGGAGGGGGCGAGAGAAGGGAGGGGTGGAGGGAAGGAGGCTGAGATGCGAGCGGCGAAGGGCAGGAAAAAATAATACGTGCCTGTGGTGACCCAGTGCGGCAGAAACTCGAAATATGTGTCAGCTGTTGAGAGTAGCAAAGGCAGAGGCAGGAGGAGGGGAGGGGGAAGGGGGGCGGACGGGTGAGGAGAGGGGGCGGAGGTGGGGGAGAGGGGAGGGGAGCAAAGGGCAAGGAAAGGGAAGGGAAGGGCAGGTAAGGGGATGGTATGGGAAAGGAGCACGTGAAGCAGAAAAAGGGGAGGAGTGGAACGAGGAAACAGAACGGGGAAGGGGGAGGGAAGAATAGGGAATGGGGAAGGAGCTGAAAAGTAGAAGGAAAGGGGGAGGGAGAGGGACAGAACAAGGGAAGAAAGGAGAAGTGAGGGAAGGGAAGGATGGGGAAGGATATGAGAAAGAAGAGAAAGGGGAGAGGCAAGGGGATGGAGTAGAAAAAAAGGAGGGAAAGGGGAAAGAATAGAGGTAGGAGGAAGGAAGGGAAGAGCAGAAGAAAAAAAAAACCATAGGTCGGAAGATGGACGGTGAAATATATCGAGAAAAGAAGGGGGAGGGAGGAGAGGGAAGGAGAATCGGGAGGAAAGGAGGAAAGAGAAGGACAAGCAGATTAACGAACGGATCAGCTGCAGGAGAAGAATAGAGAAAAAAAGAGAAAAGATGAAAAGAAATAAAAAAGGGAAAAGTTTAGGGGGGGAGGGAGGGGAAATGAAAGTGTCGAGTGTCCAACTTGGCCGGCTGAGAATGGCATCAATTTGAGGAAATAGAGAGAGGGACTGGGAGAAGGATGGAGAGATGGAGAGATGGGGAGATGGGGAGATGGGGAGTTAGAGAGATGGAGAGATGGGGAGTTAGAGAGATGGAGAGATGGGGAGATAGAGAGATGGGGAGTTTGAGAGATGGAGAGATGGGGAGATGGAGAGATGGAGAGATGGGGAGTTAGAGAGATGGAGAGATGGGGAGTTAGAGAGATGGAGAGATGGGGAGTTAGAGAGATGGAGAGATGGGGAGTTAGAGAGATGGAGAGATGGGGAGTTAGAGAGATGGAGAGATGGGGAGTTAGAGAGATGGAGAGATGGGGAGATAGAGAGATGGGGAGTTTGAGAGATGGAGAGATGGAGAGATGGGGAGATGGGGAGATGGAGAGATGGAGAGATGGAGAGATGGAGAGATGGAGAGATGGGGAGATGGAGAGATGGAGAGATGGAGAGATGGAGAGATGGAGAGAGAGAGAGAGAGAGAGAGAGAGAGAGAGAGAGAGAGAGAGAGAGAGAGAGAGAGAGAGAGAGAGAGAGAGAGAAGGGGGGGATAGAGAGCGAGAGAGAGAGAGAGAGAGAGAGAGGAAGAGAGAACGAGAGAGAGAAGAGAAAACAGAAAACGAGAGGGAGAGGAAGAGAGAACGAGAGAGAGAGGAAGAGAGAACAAGAGAGAGAGAGAGAGAGAACGATAGAACGAGAGAGGAAGAGAGAACGAGAGAGAGAGGAAAAGAGAACGAGAGAGAGAGGAAAAGAGAACGAGAGAGAGAGGAAAAGAGAACGAGAGAGAGAGGAAGAGAGAACGAGAGAGAGAGGAAGAGAGAACGAGTGAGAGAGGAAGAGA